GTGAAAACAAATTTATTTCTGTAAAACCTTTGAAAGCTAAGTGAATATGTTAAATCATGAGCTTTCTTCTAAACTGCTTTCCTTCCAGATATTGGCAAGAGACAAGATGAAAACATCTAAGAATTATTTCCACTTTGTGGTACATTGTGGCACCCATCTCAAGATCTATGAGAGTTTCCTGCACTTTATTCAGTATTGTTTTGTATTTTCGGACAATTGCTACTAAGATTATTAGTTTCTCCGACACGACAAACAACTCCTGTACAAACGCTGCTCAGTGCAAGTTGAAACTCTAGCGTCTATAGGGTATATCTATTTCACCTTCATCATTAATATTTATAAGAGACCATGAGGATTACAAGCCATTTGGCTCATCGTACTACATTAACATTACTCTAAAACATTACTTGTTAAAAGTCTGTGGGATTTGATGCTAAGTAACCAGTTATTGTGTTTTGAACCTTTACTTTAACTAACTTCTTTCCATATTCCTCACCAGAATGTACATTAGTTGCTGTGTATTTAAGCGGAGGTTTTGAATTTTTTATACACAGAGCTTCTGAGAGACTCGCATTGCGGTTACGTACTATCGCCAGCTCTGTGAAAGCTTATTCCGGTTTTAGCCAACGTAAAATATCCGTTTTTAATTACTTGAGCCAGCTTAAGTTTACTCTTTTGCGTGTAGTCTCAGATTACGTTATCTGCATTGAAATTAACTTCTTCCTATGTTATGTTAGATACCCACAATTAGTGGAGGTGCGTCTGTAGCACTAGTACTTTTTACTGTTCATTTAAAGAGCTAGATAAAAAGGCTATTTTAACCTTCTTACAGTTCGGTCCTTTCCTTCAAATTAAAGCGATAACTCGTTCTACAGTCTGGTAAAACGATCTGCTACGCATTAATATAAGCAAGCTAGACATAGCAAAACCCGAGATGAACAGATGCTATCTTCCAAGAATGCGCCTTAATATATAACAATCTTGTAACCCACAAATATATTAAGTTTGCTAATGTATGGCTGCAAATACTACGGGTGTGTGCACAGCTTTATAGCCCCGGTTCTGGAGGTTGTGGATGATGGTGGAATTTCACATTTTTGCACTTGTTGTTTTATTCACACACATGATTACCCCTGAATGCTTCGTAGTAATTTTCGCCGGGAAGCCAGCTAACTTATTTGTGAGTTAAGAGAAGAAAAAGAAGAAAATAGAAACACGGGAAAAGCATGAAAAAGGAATTAAAAAAATGGAATGATGAAAAAAAAAAAAGAGAGAGAGAGAGAGATCAACGCATCTTTTTTCCTTCCCGTAACTTTCTCTCATTTTCTTTAACCTTCTCCAAGTGGAAGATGCGGAATAAAAACGGGAAAAGATGTGACGTCGGAGAGAGGCAACAGAAGCGGAGAAAAAAGGAAGTGGAGATGACAGAAATTAACTGAGAAAAAAGTCAACCAAAGTAGAAGATAGAAGATGAAGGATGAGGATCTAAAATACAGTGCGAATAATTCTGACTTCTCTTCCTTTCTTATTTCACATCCCTTCCCACATCTTCTTTCCATTAATACTCACCTCTCTCTCCGTATTATTTTCTTTCCTCTTTCCCTGTCTTCTGTTGCAAGAAACAAGAGGTGAAATGAGAAAAAAACAACGGAAAGGAAATGACAGATTACGAGAGCACAGAAGAGTGAATAGGAGAGAAAAGATGCTGATAGTAGAAGGCAGAAGTCAGAAAAGATGAGGCGGTAAAGATGTAGGGTTTTATTTATTTTTTCTAATAGTTATTTTAATTAGTGAACCTCTCCTATTTTCTCGTGTTCCTCTCGCCAGGATGGAAAGATGGAAATGTGTTAGGGTAAACAAGAGTATTTATACTATAGGAGCGAAAAGTTTCGTCAGAGCGGAATTTCGTTATCGTGAGCGCATGCTGCCATTTTCTTCAGGCTGTTAACCTTAATATCGCTATGTATTCTTGCTGCCGAGTTATTATTCTGCCGGGATACGTTTTGAGTCAAGCTGTTGGTTTAAATTAAATTAAACTGTGTAGTCTCGCATTACTCTTTAAGTTTAAACATAGTTCTCTAGAATTGGACATAGTTCTCACCGCAAGTGGTCGGTGTTTGTAAGCACCTAAGTTCATACCCTCTCTAAATTATATTGTGTTCAATAAAAGTGTCTTTTACGCCCTTTCCCTGTTTCACTTCATCTTCAAACCTGTGCGAAAATTCGCAAGGATCAACACTTAAGTAGATCTAGTTACATTTTATGACAGCAAAAACGCCTAGATCTTAGAAATACGTTCTTCACTTCGACTTTCTCCTTTCAGCATATTTGTTTTCTTTATATAGTAGAAAAAAGAACGACGTGAGAACGAAATTTCGCGAACCTTATCTTTTTACCTACTTCTAAATCTATCTAATTTCTTAAAGTCTCTTCTCTCTTCTGCTTTTCAAATCATCTTTTCTCCTCTCATATTTTTTGCGCATGCTTTTTTTGTCTTCTCTTTCTTTCTTCCCCAAGGCTAAAAGAAAAGGAAGTGGGGAAGAGAATAAAATAGGTAGAAAATATGCAAACAGGAAAAGAGGTAAGAGAAGGCAAGAGAAAAAAAAAAAGTTGGAGACAAAGTATGGAAGAAAACAGACATCTGGGGTAAAGAGAAGGAAGACGAAATGCGGTGAGAAATAATAAGAGGACAATCATCTTTTCGTCTCTCACCTTGTTCTCTGTATTCTGTTCTCTTCTCTCTAAAATTTCCTCACTCGCTTTTCTGTTATTTCCTATGCGTCAATTTTCTATTTCCTTATTTTCTTCTTTCAATTTTCCCCTCTTCTTCTCATATTTTCTCTCTTCTTTTGAAAGAAGAAAAGAGAAGAGGAAAATAAGGGGAAAAACTGCGGAGACGAGGTAAAAAAAAAAAAAAGAGAAAATATCGATATTTTACGAACAAGATGAAGATTTAAGACAAGATGAAAAAACACTTCTACGAAGAAAAGAAAAGAAAAACTAAGGGATCAAGAAGGCAGAAAAGGAGGCAGGGGAAGACAGAAAATAAGTGATGGGAGGAAGATGTTGACTGAAGACAGTTGCAATTCCCTTCACTTTGCTCCCCTTTAGCAAATTTTCCCCCTTCTCTACACTTATCTATCTTTTATCCCATGTTTCTCCTGCCCCGATGCAATCAAGAGAATAGATCTGCAAATAGATACTTACATAGGCGAATGTGTGTTCTTCTCTCCGAATATTTTCTTCCATAATTTTAGCAGGATCTTTTCCACTTCTTAACTTTTCTGTTTTCTCCACCCCTCCACTTAAAACAACTGGAAAACTCATTTTAACTGAAATGAGTCAATTCCGTGGTTTTGCTTATGCGATTCTATGTACGAATTTCGGAGATGCGGAAATCGGCCACTTTCACAATTTTGTTAAAAACCTATTCTTCTAACAACCACTAGATGCTTACCTTGTATTTACCCTTCTCTAAATTACAAATGACATCAGTTTTCCAAGCATTATTGGCAGTTTCTTTTTATTATTATTGCAAAAAATGTGTCACTTTAATTTTGGACAGGAATATATATATTCTCTCTATGAAAGCTTCCATGTACGTTTTTACCCCGGCTTTATTTTCTCAACCGTTCGTAGCAGACATACATCCAGTTAAAAAATGTTTCAAATGACGCAAATATTCATGCTTGGGCATTCCGAAATTTATATAATCAATTTCGTAAAAATTCTGAAATCTAACTTTTTATATATTCTTCTGATCTCTATACAGATAGTTAGAAAAATTTTATAATCCTTACAGCAAATAAAAAACGTGCGACTTCAATTCGAAATTGTGAAATTTCTGAGCAATTTGTCAAAATGTTTGAATTACAAATTGTAACCAACAAAAATGTCTTGCAGGAACCAAACTTGAGATTTCAGACAAAAAATAAATAAATATTTGAATTGTTTCCCTTTAAGATATTATTATAATTGTTTATGTATGTCCTGATAGATATTCACCAAGTGAAATTTAAAATTCACTTATAATATTTAGTTTGTTAATGAAGTTTTTCATTCTGTTAAAAAAAAAAAAAAATTCTGGCCTATAACTGTTTTCAGCCCATTCGGTCCGCATGCAATTTGAGTTTCGGACCACTGTTCTAGAAAATACTGGTAAGCTTAAACACACGGCTAACTCGTGCTGTTAACTACATAATATAAAATTGAATAAAATTTCTGTTTTAGTGAATTTTTATATGATTATTATATTATGATTCTTATGTAAAAACACTGCATGAGAACATTAATAAGGTACTGATTCAGAAGTCAAACAACAAAAATCAGCGTTAATTCACAAAATTTTCACAGGACTAGTTTCGATGGTTTTACCGAACCATCATCTTCAGCTGCAAAACCGCAAAATTTATTCGGCGTGTTATTGTGTCTTAATTAATAAGGTATTTTTAACGTTTAAAAACTTATAAATAGTTGTGAGAAAATGCTTTTGGCATGCAAATTGCAATAAAATTATAACATAAAGAATGCTACGCACTAGGAAATCACAAAAGTTTATCATTAAATAGCATTTACAGGGAAAAAAAGAAATCTCGAATCATTCCAATTTATTTATTAATCGACCTCAAGCTAAGTTTGAAATGATGACAAAAATCGCAGATTTTGAAATTAAATATGTCGCTCAATTTTTGCCGTAAAGAAGTTAAACGTTTTATACTTTATTCTTTTAAAATAAGTACATTTTTCCTAAATATAAAGACTACGAGAACGAATAAGACGAATAACGAAGTTAGATTTCGAAATTTTTAAAAACTCGATATTTTTTTATTTATTATTTTTTTTTTTAAATTTAAAAAATGCCCTAACTTGAATATTTGCATCATTTAAAACATTTTTGCAACTGGAGTTAAATGTCTATGACTAACGACTGCGAAAATTAAGGCGGGGTAAGAAATTTTGTGGATACGGTGTATAAACATATCAATGACTAATGAAACAACTTATAAATAATCAAAATTTATTTAAATCCAACAGCAATTTACCGAAAATTTAAACGGCCAACAGGTATATAAGGCAATTTTTTTAACATGAAATTGATTTCAGCAGATATTTTCATTACGAAGTAACAGCATTATAAAAGATAGGAACTTATTCCAGGTTTTATCTTTTCAGCATAGCCAAGAAGTACATGAAGATCTTCAAATGTACGCAAACCACACATTGTCATCAAATCACTTTTACTCAAAAGTTTTCCACATTCCCTAAATGACAGGAAAAATAAATAATTATGTAACGAATTCTCCAGTTTTATTCATAAATAAATTTTTAAGCTGTAATATTTAACGAACTATTTACATTTATACACTGTAAAGTTATTTGTTTCTTTTCATCAACCAGTTATTTTATGTTACGCATCTTTACTGTCAGTTCTCCCTTTCCCTTTTCCTGCAAAAATGTAAGTTTTAGCTCGCGCGTGTTTAAATGAGGTAGAAATAGATAGTAATTAAAGTTTCGGATCGCTTAGACACAGCGTGTTCCGCCTGCTGAAGGCCACGTTACTAGTTCAAATTCTCCGATAACACTGCGATAGCGTTGCTTTATTCTTGCCAATAGTACTTGTCACGCCGGTATAGGTTTGAGCCAACTTGCGTGCTATTTATTTTTGTGCAGCCCTTGGCTAATTTGGGACTTAGATTTATTTTAAATTTGCAATTCCTTATTTTTTAGTTACGCCATAAATGCTGACAGGTTTTGTAAGCACAAAAAGTGTCTTTTTAAAAGCACAAAAAGTCAATTATTTGAGTTCTGAATAAAAGGATCTTTTACACCCTTCTTACGCTTCTGTGCGATGAACTAGACATAGCGATAATTCGCCTACGTCTTCACAAGAGTCTTGAATAAATGGATGCTACCAAGAGAGTGAGACTCTATAGTGGCTTCCCAGCTTCAGAACCCTATCTCAAGAAAATCGTACGTTTTTAATCTGCTCCCCCCAATGTCGCAAGCCCACCTGCACCAGTTAGTCCCATGGAGGTATTTGGAATTATTATGAATACTTTGCAGGCAGATTTGAAACCTGCAGTGATTTTCGACAGGAAAGTCTCAGCACCTAATTTCCTTGAACAATTAAATTCGCATTTTGTACTGTATCCAATGCCAGAAGTGCAGAAATTTTCAATAGCAACTGTCGCTTTAAGAGGACAGGCTTCTAGTTGCCATAAATGCATTAAAAAATTTGTTTTGGGGTGAGTCAGGGAGTGACACCTCTAAATTTGAAATATTTAAAAGTGCTATCATCAAAAGTGTTCCCCATTGCGAAAGATACGACTAAGCTCGAGGCAGAACTGTTCAGTAAGTATCAGTTTAAAGCTGAAGAACTAGCTAATTTTATTTTGTGGAAAATCCAAATTTTTAATTTGTTGTATGACAAAAGACCTGACGAGGAGATAATACAAATTATTTTACCTAAGATGTTACCTCAAATACAAGATTTCTTTGAATTAAGATCCCAATGACACTTGAGAATCTATCTGAGCTCGCAGTCAAATTCGAAAGCAGGCGTGCAAGGAAAAGGACATCGAGAGGCGAAATGGGCAAAATTTTAGGCCTGCACCACAGCAAAGGCCACAGTTTTGCCAAAATAAGCATTTTGGAAACAGGCAAAAAATTTCAACCTCGAGTGGCGGCCGCTAAAATGAAAGGCAAAAGAGAAAACAGGGGCAAAGTATAAGAAAAATTTTAACTAAGCACGTGTATAGAGGATAAGAGGTAACAGTTACGCCGGAGGCAAGAAAATCCCTCTAAATTTCATTTAAATGCCGTATTTGCTTAAAATTTAGCATTCCCAATAGTGCAGGTATTGCTAAATAATATCCGTGCTGATGCATTGCTAGGCACTGGGGCTCCGTGTAGTTTTCTATAGTCTAACAGCTATAGACTGTTCGATATTGCCGGAGCAAAAGGTATTGCCGCTCAAGGCAAGCAGTGCACGTTCATAGGTAAAAGTGCACCGCACGTTCAGATTAAAAATGAACAGCAAAAGGTCGTATTCTTTGTTGTGAAAAGTTCAATAGCAATATCACAAAATAATTAAAAGAGCATATTTTCAGAATTTCCAATACACAGTCTCGCACGCTGGAGATAAAAATGTCCCCCCCCCCCGTACAGTGTTCCCATTGCTCGCTTTGAAATCGTTGAGTTTGTTAATCAAAAATTCGCTAAAGCGTTACAAACTATAAAATCGATAATAAAACAAATTCCAAATTAGGGCTTCCAGACGCCCATATCCAGTGGAGGATTACGTTATTTAAAATTTGATGGCTCTAGGTACCTTTGGTTTATTATAATACATATATTTATGCAGATTCTTCATTATTTAATTTCTTTAAATATAACACAGGGCGATAACATTTCAATTCAACAGCATTATCACAAAATATTTAAAATCAGCATACCCATAGAATTTTCGATGCACAGATTCGCGCGCTGGAGATTAAAATTTTTATTTTTCGTACAGTGTTGCCATTGCTCGCTTTGAAATCTTTAAATTTGTTAATCAAAAATTCGTTAAAGTTTTGCAAAATTTGAAATAGATAATAAAACAATTCGAAATGCAAAATTCCGGCTTCCAAGTGGCCATCTTCGGTTGGAAGACTACGTTATTAAAAATTTGCCATGCAGACAGATCGTTCGCCGCTTGATAAAGTCCATAAGCGGCTATTGACCTTGAACAAAGCTCAGATCGCATAAATTTAAGAGTGTTAGAGGAAAAACTCAATTAGGATGTTGGGGTTTTAATTTTTTAATTTAATCGTTAAAAATACTTTGTCTCTTTGCGTACCACCTATTTTTCTCTTGCGTACCTCCAGTGGTACACATACCACCGGTTGAGAACCCTGGCTGAGGCTATATTCTCAGTTAACACCGTAACGCTAGCCATAATAAAAGTTATGGTCACATTTCTCATGTTGTTCCACTGAGGATGAGGCTACCGCCCAGGAGACTGCACAAAGTAAGTCAGTCATAAGGAAGAGTACTGTTCATCGCGTATAATATATAGCGCACATTCTGCTTATTTTTCGGAAGTAATGAATTTGAAATTTCAGCCGAATCCTTAGATGATGATACAGCGATGTAAAAGTACTGCTCTTGCTCGGTATAATATCATGTACCATTTCAAAAAATGATAGAGCAATAAAAAAAATCATGCCTTCTATCAAAGCACTGCATAAGCAGAGAGATTTTGGTCAGATGTTACTTGCCTTATTTGAGCAATAATGCTATGGGAAAACAGCAATCAGCTAGTTTTGTTGTACATTTTCAAAAAATGACGGCCAGTTTCTATTTGGCGCCCTTTTCTAAGTTATATTCCCCCCTCCAACTCTTTTATCTTCTAAAAGCATTTTGAATCGTAATACACCACGTGTACTGAATTTGTAGATACGGAGGCAGAACTGTGCATTGGATGCCAGTTTACACGATTCAGTTCCTTGGATGAATAAATCGATCAAATTTAGGTCATGTAAAGTTCTTTGCTTATCTAGACATATGTAGATAAATTAGATGCTTGCTGATATAGGTAAATTAGAACCATTAATTGGTTCTTTAACTTGCACATCGAAAAATATTTAATTTCTTGGATAAGTAACGCAGGTTTTATGAAGCCGAACTTTTGGCTTATACCTTCTCATTTCAAAAGCCATATCATTTATGCTCTTAAATGCAGAAAAAAGACAAGTGTGCTTTTTTTGGCGGGGAGATACTCTAAATAACGTACGCTAGCTGATTCAAAAGTTTTAAGACTGATTTTTCTCTTTCACAGCATACTGAAACACACGCTACAACATTTCATTCCTTAATTAACTTGAACACTACTATGACTGGACAGGTGATTTATCATTCTTTCTGTGAAAGTAACTGTAAATTCAGAAGTTTAAACAACTCTTTTATTTAAACTTTAACTTAATAGCTTGTTCTTACAATTTAAATCTCCGCAGCTTATAGGATTTCAGATAACATATAATGTGCATTTAAAATTCAAAGTAAAATTAATGATTGGAGATTCACAGTGAAGAAGCCTAACAACCGTTGGTTAAATTTTAACTAATGCGCGAGTGATTCTGCTAGCAAAGAATTCGGATAACGTAAATCTTAGAGTTGGAAGAGAGAGCAGAACTACGGTCAGCGTCGCTGCCAAAGCTCTCTGTCTAACTTTCAAGAACTTTGTTCTTGTATACGCATATCTTACTTAGATCCTGGTGTGAGACAGCAAAAAGCAGATTTAGATCATACAGCTCAAATAAAAAGATAATGGTTTAATTAACATAATATTCTAAAAGTAGAGTCCTTCTTACTTATTACACTTTTCATAATGCTTTATAAGCAATCTAAAACATCGAATAGAGTGTTTTTGTGACACCTTCTTTTGCAGTGTCCATGGGCCTTTTCCATTTCCTTATTTGAACACAGCCACTTTCAGCTGCCATCTCAGTGTTCAAAATGCTTAGAAATCCACTGGAGCTAAGTCCAGTTTATATGCTATATATTATACTACTACTCATCAGTTTCTAATATTACCGAAAATGCTTAAACATGCGGCCGAGCGTTGTCCTGAAGTATAAATTACTTCCCAGCAAATCCGATCTTTCCGATCCTTCGCAAACGAGTTTCAAGTGTTTCACTAAAAGTTACTGTTCACTGTCTGACCATGTGTAGGTAATGTTGGCATCCATATCAACAGCGGATAACTTAAGAAAATAGACTTTATCCATCAGTTGTGGGTTACGTTTTGAACGGCCTCAACTACTGAAATACTGAAGGGCGACTATGCAAGCTATGACATTTCAAGTGTTTTGTTACCGTTCTTCCCAAGTTTAATACAAAATTTAATCAAACCACTGCTGTATAGTCATAGAGACGTCTACTTCATCAGGCATGACAAACACACTGCGTACTTCCACTTGCTGTGATAAAATACTGAAGGATGTGGCTGTTCAACTTCAGATTTCAAACACGCCATGCAACATAGGCGTATGGTGGCCAAACCTCTATCAATTAGCCAAACCTCTATCATTAGCCAAACCTCTATCAATCCGATGTTTTGCAACGTAAATCATGCTACTCATACGGCAAAAATACTTGTATTTTCTTTCTCCATAATTCACTTTTACGAAGTCCTGTTCAATAATGTTACAATTAATGATGACCTACGTAGCACAAACTGTTCTGCGGTACTTCCAATGCTAGTGAAAAGTGGCACATG